AAAACCGCCACATTTAAATTTATGTTGATGTTGCACATCCAAATCGGGCGTTACTTTCTGTGGCGACTGTACATGTTGCATTATGAACTATATATATTGATCAAAAAAAAATAAAAAACAGAGGGCAATGAAATTAAATAAATATTTCGAGAGACAAAAGTTACCACTGCTTTAGCATTCAATCTGCATTCAAGCCTGGATTGACATGGAAGGAGAATACTTTAAGTCTTGATTTTTTGAGGGTATAATGTCTTACTCAAAGGTATTTCAAATTTCTTAATAATTTTTCTTTTTTCAAAAAATCCACACCGCCATTACTTTTGTGGAGACTGTGGTAAATGTACCGATTGTCAAGAATGGGATTACTGCTTTGGATATTTTAATTAACAAGACGAATTTGTGAATCTGAATGGTCTAGCGAAAATAAGGATATCGATAGTCTAATAAAATATGCGAAAAGAGTTGTCATATATATTATTCTAATAAAATGCAAATACTGATAATTGCCAACAGAGTTAGCAACGAATCATAATAGTGTAGCGATAGGTGATTTAGGAGTTGACGAGTAACATAAATAACAATAACAAAATTACGTAGAAAATAACGAATGCATAGTAGACGAAATTTTATAAATTAAATGAAAATTCAATTTTAAAGTTTTCAAATCAAATTATATTATTTATTTAGAGATTTTAATTTGGGATTTGGATATTCTTGGTTTGGGTAGCATCCCTTCATGTGAAATAAAACCATTAATGACCATGGAAGGTATTGAACCATCAAATCGTCAGAATTGGTAGCTGGCCTGAGTCGAACTTCCGTTACTTCAGAATAACAAGAAAACTATTACTGCTTTTGGAAAGCGTTGTTATACAACAGACATCTTAAAAGAATTATCGAACAATTAAAGGACAACCTATCCATGAACATGACCTAACATGTACGGTTAAATGATCTAAAATAACCACCAGGCGAAACGAAAAATACGTAGTACATGTACATGTAATACGTACATGTATTGCTTTATAAAATTTAGAGCATCTCATTTTATACGTAATTTGGTTGGCAGTCAATTATTTACAGTTTATGCGTGTTAATGTGCTTCTACTCATGCTAATTTTCTTTTTTAAAGACGTACTACGCATTACATAGCGTAGTAAATAAAGTCTATTTAACTACCAATTAGAATAAATTTTTTCAAAGTTAAAGAATTCAACCATTTCAGGAACTCGATCGTGTCCGTTATCTTTAGCCTTTTGATACCACTTTAATGTCAAATCGAGATTTTGTTCAACTCCTATTCCATGTTGCTAAAATTTCCCAAGGTTAAACGGAGCTTTTCTATGTCCAAACTCTGCTGCTCTAAAATACCACCCGCTCTGCAGTCATCTTTTTCTGTGCCTTCTCTATATTCATAACATAAACCAAGTCGAAAATGTGAAAGTGAATTACCGTCATGTGCTGAACGAAAAGATATTTGAATAAATGTTTTTCATAATTTTAGTTTTTTCATCTTTTCATAACTAAATCTCAAAAATAATCGGGATTGAATATTTAAATAAGAACTCCTATGCTTTTTGTTCATCTTTGATTGTTCCTTCTCCATTTTTATAGCAAAGAGCAAGATTGTATTGTGCGTTAGGATTTCCAAACTCTGCTGATTTTAAATACACTCGCATACATTTCTCTTACCTTCTTTTATCCAATACTCGTTATTGTATAATTCTCCAACTAACTATTGTGCCAGTCTCTCCTTGAAATGCCAATCATTGATAATATCGCAATTATAGTATACAAACCCATATGTGATGAAGTTTTTCAAAATTAACTTCGGAATTTTCATTATATTTGAAAGTATTATCAAAAAGAATCAATAAATTATCCATTGTAGTTTCTACGGATAAGTTAGGGTTAAATTTGCATCTGTTGCTGGAATAGATGAAGATGACAATGTTAAAATCCAATCCATTTGATCATTTATGACGACGCCATCAACGTTTGTTCTGGAGCTATTCACTACCTTCAGTCGCCAATAACTGTTGTGAATTCTCTTCACATTCAGTTGATTGCTTTTTCTTGTTTTTCATCAAACTATTATTCCCGAAAAGCTCAACTTTGTTCGAGTTGGAGAAATTAGGATTGTTGCTATTTATTGATGGAATAGATAAAGATGTTAAAAGCACATCTTTTTTTTCGATTTCTTTGATTAATAACTTTTTGTTGTTAATTTCAGACATGTTTATATTGTTACCCCGGCGTACAAACTTCCTCGATTATGATTTTTCGGGGGTAAACGGCAGGAAACGAGCCGTGGATGTCGATAACGCCAGCCCGACGTTGCTGATCTCCAAAATCGGTAGAGTTTACAGCAACGATTGCAGCAAATTTCCGTCATAATTGTCAACAATGCCGTAGCGGTAGATTTTTCAACAAATGCGATCGGTGGACTTTTCAGCATGACGACATGCCATGCTAATAAAAACAACAAACTCCCTTTTTAATATACGATACGGTACTACGCCATTCCCCGCACCTTTTTTCAGCATTTCTGCATCGTTTTCTCATCATTCAGCGTTTCTGCATCGTTTTCAGCATCTCCTCGTTGTTTTCAGCATCTCCTCATCATTTTCAGCGTCTCTCTGTCATTCTTCAGCACGATTCATTAGTTTTTGATTTATTTTGTAACAGTTACTTCTATAGATAGAGCGTCCGTTATGAACTCTTTTTATTTTTAATAGTAAAAAAAGTTATGCTTTCTCTTCTCTGATAGTACAAAAATAAAAAATGTATAAAAGAATGGTCCACGGGCTACTAATAAAGACAGAATTCATATTGCGAACAATTGTTCTCCAAGTAAGCCACTTGTAAAAAGAGAATTGAAATTCTTCTCCAAGAAAATTAAACTTGAATTCTTGCGTACAATTATTCTCCCCCTAAGTAAATTATTGCTTGTAAAACTCCTCCCATTTTCCCACGTTAATCGTAATACCGTATTGCTTGTTGGTTAGGTCCTTTGTACCTGAAAAGGCGTAGATTCGCATTTTTATCGAAAAACCGTTTTTGTGTAATCACCATTGTCGTTATTATTTAAGAGTTTAAGGCTTTTGTCTAGAAAAAACAACGATTGTTAATAATATTTTTAAGAGTTTAAGGCTTTTATCTATAAAAAGCAACAATAAAGGAATTCCCCCTAACACTCACCCGAAACACGTAATCTTCTCTTCCCCACCCCAATCAACATAACCGACAATATCCGTAGATATCGCACCGAAAGAAATCACTGTTCAGTCTATCAATCTCTCCCAAAGTCTTGTTGCGGCATAAATACTCTAATTCGCTAAAACCAAAACAAAGCCGCAACAATATAACGATAACGATCAAAAGTTATATTTTGACGAACCTTACTGTTGCCGTTTCACAAAAAAATAAAGAAACCATTTTTAGTTAGATTGATAGCACAATTTCTATGATAACGATAACGATAATGGAAGATTTTAAGAAATATACGTACGTAGTATCGGTGTCACAAATTAGGTGTTCTATGATGGAAGTACATTCTATCGATTCTATAGAAAAATGATGTTTGTACATGTATGAGGTTGTTCCTTTATAGAAGATTCTTTTATGAATTTGTTATTTGAGAATGCTGTAGTATATTTCGCGGTACGGTACCAATATTTATACGTGTATACCCATACATTTACAACCACAAAATATAGCAATAAATAATTACACGTATACTGTTCAATTGTGGAAAAGCACGCAAATTTAGTATTAAGTAAGCTATGTATCATACGTGCAAATTTCATTATTCTTTATTAGAATTGAAATAAATAATCGCATTTTTTTTTTTATCTAAACATGCTATTTTAAATTAATGAATTAATGAAAATGTTACGAACATAATACTCAACATCCATGCATCCCAGATTTTTCGCCTCCAAATATAACTTCAAAGCGCGATGGACATCAACATTCGTTCCCAAGCCGTAAAAAAACATATCTGCCAAATCCCATTTTCCCAGTTCGTCACCCATCTCTGCACTTTTAGAATACCAGTAAAATGCGTATTTACGATCTTGCTTCACGTGCGTTCCATACTCATAACAGGATCCAAGGTTAGATTTCCCCTCACTACAACCGTTATCCGCGGACCTTTGATACCAATAGAAAGCTTTCTCATCATTTACCTTGGTGCCGATTCCATTCTGATAGAAATATCCAACCTGGTTTTGACCGAATGAGTCATTCTGTTCAGCAGCTCGTAGATACCATTGAAATGCTTTTTGCGGGTCGATGAATGTACCGAAACCTTTGTCATAACAGAATCCTAGTAGACATGCGTATTTATAATTGTTTCGAGCGACTTGTTTTAAGTGCTCAACGATTTGAATTTCGGTGAACTCTTTGTGTTGTGAGAACCAACCGAGAATACATTCTCTTAGGCGTTCGTCTTGCCAGCCAGGATTTGTGATCGAAGAGAATGCTTTTAATAGCTCTCTCAGAGCATTTGAGAAATAATTTTTGTCGTAATTCTCATCACTCGGATTTTCATTATTCATATTATTACTATTACAATTAGTGTTCTTAATTTTTCCGTATTATATTTTTGTGTTGCAAAATGACTACGTAATCAAAAAGTGCAAATATATTTTTAATTTCGTATTTCTAGTATCGGTATAAATAGGTTACAAGAAAACGAGAACGACCTATCGCTATGAAAAAAGAATGACCGATATTTGGCATTTGTCCAATTTATCATACATTTGTGATTTATACAATGTACAAAAATGCATGAACAAATTTGGAATACGTACATCGTCTTGCATTAACGTTAAAAATGAAGATGTGACGACAAATTCCAGACAAATATCGATCATTTTTTATAGTGCTTTTATGAAATAAATTGATATCAGATATGGTGTAGGAACTCTTAAATCGACAATATGTTTCAATTTTAAAATTCTACTACTCAAAATAGAGGCAAAATTTTCAAAATCTGACCGGTAACTTTGTAGAACTTGTTATAAAAAACAAAGTTACTTGTCAAATTTTGAAAATTTTGCCTCTATTTTGAGTAGTAGCATTTTGAAATTGAAACATATTGTCGATTTTAGAGTTCCTACACCATACCACCTTTAAAAGATATTTGTTTACGAAAGCTGGCTGTGCTGAAGAAATAAAAAGATCAATATCTAATAATTGAAAAGTTCTCCGATTTATAGTTATACCTCCTTATGAATCATACCCTCCACAAATCACCTCTTTATTAATTATTCTACTGTCCTTGACTCTGGAGCAACACTATTCAGAAAGTATATGGTGTATAACATCTAAACTCGTCAATATTGTATGTTACAAATTCAAAAAACCTCTTACTATGAAGTAAATCCAAATCATTGGCAGATTAAATTTTTTATTCGCTTCAGCTAAGAAGTTTATCGAATTAGCTATACAATCTATTGATGAGTTGCATTTACTAATTTTCACCCGAAGTTTTGATTGGCTGAGGATATTAAAGGTTAGTTTTAGGGTTAGGGTTAGGAGTGGAGGAAAGAATACATGTAAAATTGTCCTCCCGACATTTTTTTTAGTGCTTCAAGCCAGGTTTACCCATTCGTTTTCCGTATTTTTCACATTATTCGCCTTTTTAATTTTCTTGTGTCGGATTTGTTTTGCCGGGTTGATCAAAAATTATGCATATTTATTGGTTGATTTAGAAGACCCGGTGTGCAGTCAACCAATCAGCGATGGAAATTACTTGTATCCAATCACAACTTCGGGTGAAAATTAGTAAATGCTGAATTAGTGAATCTAAATCAACAACCGTTTAATTCCTGCCAGTGATGATGAAATTCTATCTTATACTTAAAATTAAATCTTTATCGTACAAAAGTGATGGATATTCTAGATAATGATTGATAATTGAGGGATTGAATAAAGTTTTTCGTATTTATTGTCTTATTTTTCTAATTGATGATGACTTTTATAGCGATAGTTTGTATAAACAAGATCATTTCAATCGAAGTCTAACCTGCTATACCTGTTTGAATCTTTAAAAGAATAAGCTAAAAAAAATCTTATCGGACAAATTTGTCTGCTGGACGGTTTAAGGAATAACAAATTCGGAATTAGACACATCATTGAAAAGCTAAAAATAAATGTGTTGTTATAAATCTGTGAACAACATAACAGGTAATAAAATTGACGATTTCAATAGAAGAATAATTTGCCGCTGGAATGGTGAATTTTCAAGTACCAGTACATGGCACCTTTCTATTATGGTGCATAAAATCTAAAGTCATCAAACGTTTGCATTTTATAAAATTTATAAACTTCTTTACTAAGAAGTAATTACAAAATTTAATCCGTGAATATAATAGAATAGTCTTTTTCTGAGCATATTCACGGATTAAATTTGGTGTTTACTTCTTAATAAAGAAGTTTATAATTTTATAAAATACAAACGTTTGATAACTTTAGATTTTATGCACCATACACAAAAAAACTGCATTGTGGTTGGCTCGTACTTTTGATATAATAGTATCGCCGACATTTCATAGCACACAAATGTTACGAAGTTGACAAGGAAGGAGACTTAATAATAGGACAGTTCGGAAGATGATGAGTTGGGCGCATGCAAGGTTTACAGTCCCCCCGGAAAGTAATGGCCGACGATTTTTTTCTTATATTTTTTTTACATAATAATATCATTTAAAATTTTATTTTTATAATATATATAAGTAAGACTTTATATCCTAGAAATATTAATATTTAATATAATTTTTTTCTATTTTTTTTTTAATATTAATGTAATAATTTATTTATTAAAAATGTCCAAAGAAGATTCATTTTTTACTTATTTTTAAATATTTTAAGAAATAATCAGTATTTTATGCTGATTTTTTGGAATTAGCTAGATATAGATTGGGGAAACAATTTTATTGGTTGGCAAAAACTGATTTAATAATGTAGTTTTCGAATTATTGAGCTTTGCTTAGTGGCAACCCCTAACCGAATCGTTTGTAAAAACCTTTAATATCTCGAAAACTTTATTAAGAAACTGGTTTTAGAGTATTATAAAAAAGTGTTCAGCCGATCGATTTACAGTTACCATAAATTTTCAGAGAAGTCAACATTTTCTGTGATTTTTAATGTTAATTTAAACGTCAATCGGCCATTACTTTCTAGGGGAACTGTAGGAAACGATTGGTATTTAAGATGGAGGAATTTGGTAAGATTGTTATAACGTCGGTGTCATAAGCATACACAAGCAAAACGTGCAGTTATTGTGGATACATTAAGAGGAATTTGGGTGGAAATAAAGAGTATAGGTGTGGGATTCGGATTAATAGGGACTTAAATGGCACCGGGGAATTTTTCTCCGGGCATTGCTTGATGGAGTCTTAGTTATATAATATAACTATGCTAATTGGTTGATTATGTTTAGCCAGGTAGTTGATTTAATCCATCCGTTACAGTATCGTTATGTCATTCGTGCATCAGCAACATTATCGCTATATTTCATCAGGATTTGACATGGAAGCTTTTAGACACGGTTCCAATCCCCAGTAATCGAGAAAATAATTTTTTATTATAAATCAAATTTTCCATCTAGTATATATATAACTGTATTGAACTAATGACTAGCTATGTGTGCTGTATGCGTAGAAACCTAGCGTAATGAACTGCTATAAAATGCAAGGCGCTGATTAATATTAGCATTGAGAATGAACAAAAGTAAAACCAGAAATAAAAGTGAAAAAGTGAAATAAAAAGTAAAAAATAAAAATAAATTTGTAATATTTTTAAAAGTATTATATTTTTGTTATTTTAAATTTTTCTAACTATTTTGAAAATTTACAAAATTTATATTACTACTATAACAATATTCTCTTAAAAAAATTTTTTGATAATAAATACAGATAATCAATATTTATATCTACGTATAGAATATTAGAAAAGTGAAATACTTTTTCAGTTGCACTAAATTTGAAAATCAGTTATAATTAATAAATTATGCGAAAAAAATCAAGAATAAGAATATATTTTTTCAAAATCAAAAAATTCAACCAACTCCCTCACTCATGACCGTTATCATGCACTTTCTGATACCATTTTAATGCCATGTCGAGATCTTTTGGAATTCTGAATCCATATTGATAAAATTCAGCCACTTTGAATTGAGAGATGAGATATTTAAACCTGATTTAGCGGATTAAAAATACCATTCAAATGCTTTTTTTCTCATTTCTATTTGTTCCATCCCCTTGAAAGTAGCATTCTGCAAGAAAATGCTGAGCGTATTGAGCATCAAAATTTTCTGACTCAGCTGATTTCTGAAAATACGAAAATGCTTTCTGCAAATCCCTATCAGTATCCTCGCTATAATAATAACATCTACCAAGTTTAAATACTTCATTACTTCCATTCTTTGAATTTGATAATATCAAATGCTTTTATTTCATCTTGTGTTTCTATATCATTTCTATAACAATTACCAATATTAGATTTTCCTCTAATATTTTCACCCTCTGTTGATTTCAAAATCACTCGAATGCTTTTTTCTCATCTTTTCGAATTCCTATATCATTTTGATAATAATAACCAAGATTACATTGTTCACTAGCATCTTCACCCTCTGCTGATTTCAAAAACTACTCGAATGCTTTTTAAACTATATTTGTCCACTAGTATTTTCATCCTCTGCTGATTTCTAATACAACACAAATATATTTTTTATATTCTTTTAAATAGTGTTTTTATAAACTGAACTAAACTGAACTTTTGTCTGAATTTGAGTCTGATTCAAAATTCAAACTGAATTCAAATCAGACTTTGGCTTGAATTCAAGAAAAGTTCAAAGTTCAAAGTTCAAACTGAACTCAAAATAAATTATTATATGAGTTTGAGTCTGATTTGAGTTTAATTAGAAATCAGCATATAGTATTATATATTGATTTGTAGTATTAAATAAGAGCTACAACTTTAATACTTTAATTATAAATATTAATTATACTATTTAATAAAAATTAAAAGTTACTTAGTAATAATTAAATTATTTTTATTTTTATAATAATTAAATTTTATTGTAAATCTTATATATCTCTTTGAATAATTATTATTATTAATAGCAACTATCTTATACCAAATCATAGCTCATATCTCTATTATAACTTTATTTATAATTATAGTTTATTGTTACTATAGCAAAATAAATATTTACTATAAAGTAACTAAAGTAAATTAAAATTATAATAATTTTTAAATCTAAATATCTTTTTGAATATTTATTTTCAATATTTATTATCTTATATTAATTTATAATTCTAATTTTGATCTATAAATTATTTAAAAGCTCATTAAATATTTACTTGAGCTTGAACTAGACTTTTGATCAGATTTGAATCAGATTTGAAATTTGAATCAAATTTGAACCAGAATTTTAATTGGATTCAAATTTTTGAATCAGACTTTTGAACAGATTCAAGTTTGATTTAAGCTCAAATCAAATCAGACTCAAACTGAATCAAATTTTTTCCAGAATCTTATTTTTGAATCCTTATATTATTATTATAATAATTATCAAGATTAAATTATTCAATAATATTATTACTATTATTATCAAAAATTTTGTAATTACTTAATTTGAAATCAACAAAAATTAAAATATATATAATATGAATTAATATAACTTAATAATAATCAAATTAATTTGTCTCTTTATTTTTATATTATATTCTATTATACAATTATATTTAATATATATTATTACTTTTTTAATATCTAAATTATAATACTACTAATAATATATAATAATAAAGAATTTCTTTACTTTTAATATTAATAATTATATAAGAATATAAAAAGAACAAATTAG